TATATCAACGGACGATAGGGATTTTTTAATTACTGGTGTAGTCGTTATGTTCATTTTTGTGCGCTAAAAGTTGTTCATGATTCTACGCCCGTTCTTTCAATGAATGTTGGTGTGTAACTTTTTATGTTATACATGAATGTAGACTTGGCTAAACGCTCCCTAGATTAAATGTGCCTTTAAAATTGGCACAGCTTAATCGGTTGTTATTGAGAAGATTTATTTAAACCAGTTAGACGTATTTTATGCTGCAATATGTATATCGATTATATCTATTTCTAAATCTGTTCCACTTATAAATGTATCATGTTTTGCATTGTTGAATTAATTATCAATGTTTAACATATAAATATATCTATAAATATTGTTACAAAAATGTGTTTGAGACAAGAGGAACAGTACTATAAATCGTAAATACCTCAGATATCTGTTACCAATACACAGAAATTATCATGTATGATGTAGCAAACATATTTAATGTAAGATAAAAAAAGCAATCAGAAATATCGCCCAATTTATTATGAAATATCGAACCGCAATTTTAACTAGCATAAATTTCAAAATATATACTTACACTTTGTAAATAATTATACAATAATAAATATTGAAAATTTATAGTGCTAATTAAGATGTATGGAATCGATTTTATCTATTTATATACAACTTTATTACGTGACATTTGTTGTGACTAATTATTCAGTTGGTAACCTTTATATTTGCAAAATAATTTTTATAATCTGTAATTCTGTAAGATTTATAATTGAGCGATCTCTCTGATTAATTTATGGATGCGCGTTTCATTTCCTGTTGCATAATTCAATATTATAATATAATAAAGCATTGAAATCATTGAATTATATTCATGTTACTGTCGAAACAGTCCATGGATTTAAGTGGAGTCAACACGATATAATATTGCATATGTATTAGTTTTATATAATATGATATACATTAATAACATGTGACTGATTAAAAATGTCTTACAGAATGTTTGTTTTGTTATATCACAATATAAAATATTTTTTTTACTGTGTGACAGGTAAAGGCGCGTACATAATATAGAAACGTCCTATTAAAATGTATACTAATTTCCAGTGAGTCGAACGAAACGTTATGTTGTAGTTATTCTTATGTTAAGAATATTCATGTTATTTATAATTTTTTAAATGTACTTTGTGTACGGGGCGGGGATAGTCTCAGGGTATGATAGCTGTACAAATTGCGAGATGTGCCAGATTAGGTGTTAAGTGTTTTTTAATAATATTTTTCATGTTTGATCTGTTATTCCTACGACAAAATGGCGGACCATTGTTTTGGCGCTAAATTATACATTTATTTAGATCTATAAGATCAAGTATAAATTTTACATGTGTGAAACAAAACTTATGTAAATATTAACGGTCGTTATCCAAACTACCGCCATTTTATATATTTTGTTTAATTCATAATATAGTTCCTAAATTTCTTTTATTAGATCTACCATGTTTTCGTAATAAAATATGGTTTAATTTTAAAATTAACATATTAAGGGAGGCGATTGGTATATATAGATATTCAATGTATATTAGAGTACATAAATATTTATGTGTAGCATGATACATACTTTGTGATTGTTGGCAGTATAGTGTAGTCCTTTGTAACCTGTAGCAATTTCAGATCAAACCAGTTCAGTCCAACTACAGCCGTCTCTTATTTTAATTGGAATGCGTACCCTCGTTTGTTTATACTTTGTTATTTATAGTTATGTCAACCGGTCTCGAAGATAATTATGTGAAATAAATTGAAATGGCTAAAATTATGCACTTTTATTTGTGAAAACTGTAAATGATACCATACTATTACTTTTTGTTTACTAAGCCTTGGGAGGTCAGGAAATAAGTGCTTGCGTTACATTTCGCCTTGGAATAACTCAACAGATTTTATATTATTTTTTTTTATTATTATTATATTATTTTTATGCTCCAAAACCCTTTCATAAAAGAAAAATCACTATTTAAAGATAATTAATTCCTAACATTGTTTCAAAAATAAATATAATTTCACCTCAAAAGGTTTCCTAAGCCTTTCTACTATGGAATTCCTCTTGTTTCGGATACAGTTTAGCGGAATATTGCTCCTTGCAGAAGTAACTCTTATGAGTTTCACATCAAGATGCTAATCTAGTTATGTCCCTGGTATAAAATTAACATAAAATATTTAAGAAGTTTATTAGTTCTTTGTGCTTAAATGTTAAGTATAAACAGCAAAAGGTAAGTCATCCAGAAATTGAGGTAATCCTTAAAGTAATTATTAAAAAAATTATCTACGAAATAATATGACAATAGAAACCCCGTCTAGCAATGAAGTTATTAATACTGTGAAATGTGAAACAATGTGAACAGCAAGAAAATTTTGATAAAATTAAGAAAAGAAAAGAATTAGAAAATCCTTTTTAGAAATTAGGACGCATTTTTCATGAATCACCAAGCCATCAGCTGAAAGGCCACGAAGATTTTTTTGAACCATATGGCAGAAGCCAAGTGACAAAATATTATCAAAGCTTTATACGTGGTAGAGCCACGGGGTGCACTGTGATTCTAACTAGATCCTATAAAACTACGTTAGGTAAACTAGGTTTTATACGTGGTAGAGCCATGCTGCAGCTATATTTCTGGTATAGTTGTAACACGAAAGGGTCGGCTCGGCCGGGGAAGGACCTCGCTCTCACAGAATACTAGCGTAAAATAGCAGCTTAATGCTGCTGTGTTTCGTATGGTGAGTGTACAGAACCGGAGACCCTTTTTACTGAAAACGAGGCATTCCATCTTAGTCCTCACGGGTGACTACGCATCTGCATTTTGATTCGTAACCGAGGATAAACGTAAATGTCTATGGACCACAGCAACCACTCACCATCTGGTGGACTGTGTGCTCGTTTGTCACCCTTATCCTATAAAAAAAGGTCCTGACATCATCACAATGGACGTGTCTTTTGTAGTGTCAGCAGTACTGTCAGCGTTCGTCCAGTACGTTTATGTGTAAAAAATCGCAAATCGGTGTATTTTCGTAGTATTGAGAATAAAAGGATGAAGTGTTGTGTTTTATCGTGTAAAAATTACTCAGGTATACTCTCTAATGCTATGGATTAAAATCTGATTGTATTGAACATAAATACAGAGATATTTTTTTTCAAAAGTGCTATTCCAAATATCGCCGATTTGGGGCTTTTTAAAATCGGCATCATCTGAACTTCGTTTTCCATCTCTATTTGGAGATCTATCGATTTAAACAGGTCTTGCGATATTTGGACCAAGAGAAGAATATATGGTCTTTCATTATAACATATGTTTAGTTTAATTTTTAGTAAAAAGCCAAATATTTAGTATCGTAATATTTATTATGAAAAGGGAGAAGCGCCACTTAGGGCTATTTGGAAACTAAAGTAATTGTATTCTAACAATTATAAAAGAATTAAAGGCAATATTTGGAACAATTAAGGGTAAGCTAAAAATAAACTTAAGCAATGAGATCTTTATAAAATATTAAATAGGTAAAAATATTAAATCAAAAAACATAAAAAATTAATACATTTGGCAAGGAATAAACCACAATACAAATCTAGGTCACGTAAGTTAACTTATGAAAACTACTGCTTTGACAAACACTGATTTTACATACGATATTATTAAAAGTCAATCAAAAATATAATAAATCTTAATCATTAAACAAGATAAATTCATTATTTTCATTAATTTGCAACAAATCTACTTGCATTACAATTATATCATCAGGTATGTAATCTACATCTAAACGTGTTGGTTTCTTAAATAAGATATCACCTTCTTTAGAAATGGTTTTGTAGTAGGATATTTTGTATTTTTTTTCAATTCGATCATTAATGTCAGTAATTAAGCCGATGTAATATAGTCAATTTTTTTTTCTGGTAATATCTAACAACAACATTATCTCCTATGCTCCATTCTCTTTTTTCAATATTGTGTTTCAAACAATTAGTGTTTAGGGCAAATCTTAACATTTAAAACTTGCATTGAAAACGCTCGTCTTGGCGCATCCAATGGTATTTAGGTCACCTGGCCCCCTTTCCCGCGCGCGTCTCTTCGCTCACCATCGGTCGCCTGACGTGTGGGCGATCAACCGGTTTGACGGCTTGGGACGGCGGGCACTCGTTTTGCCCGCGGCGGCCGTGTCCTTATGAGTTATGAGTCTTAAAGTTACGCTCGAATCGTTAGGTCGCGTGAATACAGCCTCTTATTGCGTTGTCTTTTTCGTGCGTTTACGTGACAACGAGGCTTTTCTTCACTTTTGAAACGCTAAAAATTTGTGTTCCGAGAGGAGATCGCGTTCGTCTTCGATCATAATTTTGTGCTAAGTGACGTTAGACTTGAGTTCACATATAGGTGAACGCTCACTGGAGTGATCGCACATTGTGGAGCCGAGCAGCGCATGTGGGTCTGCTGCCCGATTACATCGGTGACGTCAGGTTACATTTACACACTTTCTCACACCACTTACACCCACCTACTTACCCCCTGACGGTACCTTGTGGTCGACCCTACCTCCGGAACTCGGTAAGTTTGTGTTTGCTTATCAGCCATTACATAATAATTATCCATAGGTCATTTAGGCCCGAACCCTCTGGTTGCCCGTCGAGTGGGCTACTCATGGGCCCTAGTCCAGTCGATTTCTGTCGGGGCAACTGAGGGCCGTAACAATAAGGTTTGTCTTTATTTGCATTCTTCTTCAATCTGTAATTCTTCTTCAGTCTTGTCCTCATCTGTTACTTCAATTCTCAGAAGAATTTCTGAGTATCCACATTCATTCAAGCTCGTCTTAATTTCTGTTTTGTTATCTGTGTCATTCTCTGCGTCCATACGCATAATAATAATAATAATAATAATAATCATCTTTATTCAGGCAAATTACACCCATATCCAGTAAAATCAATAAATTTAAAATCAGTCTCCTAAATTTTAGCAATAATTAAATCAATTTCAATACAAAATAACAATTTTAAAATAATAAATCCAGTCAATGTAAATAGGCAGTAATGTCAGTATATAAATAAAATAATGAAATAAAATAACATAAAATTAAAATTAATAAATAAATAACAGAATTACACACATTTATCAGTCTGGAGACGAGATCAATAATTAAAACTTTCTCTGAGGCAACTGTGCTGCAATAAATTAAATTAAAATCAATCTACACAATTAAAGCAATACAATACATAAATCAATGTCAACAAGATAACAATTTTAAAATAATACAACCGGTCAATTTCAATAAGCATTAATGTCAGTATATAGAATAATCTAAGCAGATAAAATAAAATTAATACATAATTAACAAAAAAAAAAAAAAACTATAAGAACACACTTTTATTAGACAGGAGACGAGATTAATCAATACTTTCTCAGAGGCAGCTGGTCTGCGACATGCCTTTCGCAACAATGCCGGATAATATAACCGTCTAACCTTCCTGAGATCATCGCTAAGACAGTGTTGGAGCTGGCCCGCACTCTGCGCACCAGGGACGCGGCCCGCTTGCGCATGGTGGCATTGAAGCAATCGGTGCGCGCATCCGCAAACATACCAGAGGCGCTACAAAACCGAGGCAACCCCATCACCGCCCTAAACGCATTATTGTATTGGACGCGGAGGACGCTGTAACTCTTCCTACTGTAATTAGCCCATAAGCTGCACGAGTAGAGCGATGTGCAGAACGCTCGGAAGAGTGTAACCTTGACCTCCTTTGAACACCGCGCAAACCTACGGGCGATCATGTTAGCTCTGACAGACAGCGCCCTCCGTTCCCGGTCCATATCAGCGTGATCCCTTAGGTCGAAGGTGAGTAAATGCCCCAGATACTGAAACTGTTTAACCCTTTCCAGGGATACACCATTCAATTTTATTTGAGGTACATTATCAGGACATTTCGCACCAGCGGCCTCAAAGATCATGTATTGACTCTTTCTGACATTATACAATAATCCGTGACCACATGCATATTCCTCGCATTTCCGTATCAGCTTCCTCAGGCCGCAGACCGATGCACTCAGCAGCACCATGTCGTCTGCATAACTCAGATTATTGACACAAACACCGTCAATGTGGCAGCCGACATGCTGACTGCTAAGCGCTACGATCAGCCCGTTGATATATAGATTGAATAGGGTTGGTGATGTTAAGCCACCCTGCCTGACTCCACACTCAAGCCGATACGGATCCGACATTACCCCCGCCCACCTGACACTATTGGCCTGGTTTGCGTACCAGTACCGGAACATGCTGATAAGTTCTTGAGGCAAGCCTATGCTTTGCAGCTTGTCCCACAGCAGGTTATATGTCACCAGGTCAAAGGCCTTGGAAAGGTCGAGGAAGCACGCGTACACAGGCGTCCTGCGATCAGTGTAGTATTTGACGGTTTGCTTTAGACACAATATGGCGCTTTCAGTGGACAAGCGAGGACGAAATCCAAACTGGTTATCGTGGAGCGTTACATGTTTATTCAACTGTGTGTTGAGCAAACCGTCAAACACCTTTGCAATTACGGTGGCAAGAGAAATGGGCCGATAGTTACACTTGTCAGTCAAGTCACCCGTCTTGTTCTTCACTATGGGTACCACCACGGTTTTCATGAAATCTGCGGGCAGGTAGGAATGGCTCACACACAGAGAGTAGAACAAAGCCAAGACCCTAGCTAGGTGAGGTCCAGCATGTTGCAAGTGCTCAACACTAAGTCCGTCATGTCCCGGGGACTTGCCTCCTGACATATCTCCTATAGCTTTTGTTACGTTTTTTGCCAGGAAACTAGTCCCCACTGTTTGTGTGTCCAGGTCAGTGCTGAACACTTCCACTACCGGATCCAACAGAGACTTTACAGAAAACTGGCTCTTGAAAAGATTTGCGATGTCCTTGGGATTGTTCATGCCATCGACGCACACAGGAAGGCCAGATCGTACATTTATTTTACTGGTGGACTTCCAGAAGCCGCGAAAATCTCCTTTGCTATGTTTCACAGCAAGAGCGTCCATCTTTATTTGGTCTTGATGATTTTGGCACCATTTTAATCGGGACTTGAACACTCTTCTGCTATCACACATTTCTTTGTAAAGAAAACCTGACCTGGGTCTACCACACAATACCCAGTCATTGAATTTAGATCTGGCCTCTCTGTGAGCCTCACTGACGTGTCTGTTCCACCCAGCTATGCGCGGGCCACCCCCAACCCTCCTCGCGCCTCCCCGACTCGCCAAAGTCATTAAATATTTCGGCTTCCTTCTCATCATTATTTCTCTTTACCAACTCATCATCTTCGAGATCGAAAATATCTAGATCTGTCTGTTCGAGGTCCATGTCATTTAAATTTTCAATTTGTTCAAGATAGACGTCATATAAATCACTATCACTGTGTACGCTCATTGAAATTTCTTCAGTAGTTGTTGAATCAGTACTTTTCAATTTGTTTAATCTTTTGGCCGGTTTATTTTTTTGTTTCATTACTAAAAGTGTATGCACGCGACTTACGTTTCACCGTGCCTATGATTTCATTATTTGAGAAATTTTCAATATTTTCCTTAGAACCAGTGTTAATATTATTATAGTCAACTTTAATCTATTCTTGATCAAAAACGTTATGAGCTTTTGGTTTCAATTTTGGTTTGTCAGATAAGACGGGAGACTTCTGTTTTTCTATAACGGCGGTGGTAGTTATAAATGTTTGCATAAACCCTGTTTTTTTATTCAATATATGTTTCTCAATCGCCCATTCCAGGTGTGTATCGTCGTTTTTTAAGAGTTTTTTGTTTATATCTAATTTATTATAATTTTCTTCTGTACACTCTGTAATTATGTCCAAATATTTTTGTTTGAATACATTTTGATCACAAATTTGTTTTTTTTAGGTATGTTTAGTGATTTTAATTCTTGTTTTCCTGAAATTTCAATTTGTTCGTGTAATGAAATATTATCTTCACATTCTTCAGTCTTGTATATAGTTTGATCTGTCTTCATTTTCTTGAACCTAAGTTTTCGTTTTTTATTGTTTTTATTTTGTTCGTTGTCTTCATTTTCTTCTTCATCAGAAATATCACTAGTCATGTCAAGTCATAGCAACCAAAATTATTTTGTCTCGGGTTTTCGCATATTCCTGAATGATCTTGCATGGGTTTATTTGAAATTGTTCCAGAGTTCTCAGATGTAATTTTTTTATCTGACCCGATATATTTTTACCCTTGGGGTTTTTTTGGTTTTTTTTTTATTTGACTGCGTAGTTGAATGAAGATCACTTTGAACCAAGTCTGCTGCCGTTATACTTTTCCCGGGCTGTACATTACACTTCTTTTTTCGTTTTATTTGTGCAGGGGCTGGAGGATTCCTTATTTCTTGCAAAATTTCTGTTACTACTAATAATGTAGTGTTATTTATTTGTTGATCTGTAACATTTGTCCTTTGTGGCAGTCGTGACTTGGGAAGTTCAGGGTTGATTGGGTATAAACCCGATTTATTAAAACCTGCTTCGAGATTACGAGATACAGCACCTCTTTCAACCAATTTATTTTTTAGTTGACCCAATAATTTGGGAAATGTACTTTTGACCAAAGTTTTATGTTTCCGCCCTTCCATTAACTTCCAATGAGTTAATACAACTCGCCAGTAGGTCTTTAGCGGAGCAAAATGCGACATCTAATGGTTGAAGCATATGTGTGGTTTTCGGTGGTAAGCACACAAATGCAATATTCATTTCTTCACAAGTCTTTAGTACGTTTTCCGAAAAATGAGACGACAGATTATCTCCGATTAGAAGTTTTCGGCCCGCTTTCTTACGTGCGTAAGGTACTATAATGGTATTAAACCAGTCTTCAAAACAGACTGCATCGAATCACCCACTTTTTGATCGATTGTACCTCGTCCCTTCAGGTCCACCTTCCAGCCACGTATCCCATAGATGATCTGATTTATATACCACATATATTGGTAGCAACTCACCATGTGCCGTACCCGTAAACATAAGCGAAATTGCTGTTTTCGAATTATTTACCATTCATTCTGGGTACTTTGTGCCTCTTTTATAAATATAGTTTTTACAACCTGGATCATCTGTGAGGTTGGTCTCATCATAGTTTATAATGCAGTCTGGAGTAACACCTTCAACAGACTTCACATTATTTTCGAAAAAACTGTCAATTACGTAATTTGTAATTTTGGCTCGATCAGTAGAAATATTAGACGCTTTGCGATTTGAAATTACTGATTTATGTCTTAAAAGAAAATTACGTGCCCAATCAGTCCCTGGTAAGCCCTGGTATTTTTAAGCCCATATATATTTTTGCCTATTTTGTTCAAATATTTTTGAGCTAGTACTCGAAGATCCATATAGTCGAAGGGAAATCCCCATTCACTTAAAATTAATATGTTTCGTATAAATGAATTTTCCTCTTCGGGAGTAAACAATGTTGGATGTCCAGCTTTATCTTGCGTGCAATTTATGTTTCTATATTTTCTATATAGTGTGCTCTTTGGTATATCATAAATATCGGCAGCTTCGGTTAACTTAAGTTTTTCAGACTGTACAGCCTCTAGCGCTTTTTCCAAATTTTCTTTCTAATAACTATGATACGGTGCAAAAGATTTACCTTTTCTGAAATTAGTGTACTTTCTTTGGTAAGTACGCACCATAATTCTGGAAATGTAATATAAAATAAAAAAGGAGATTATAAGCTTCCCCTTAAATTTATACATGATAGATATTTGGGGCTATTTAAGACAGCGAACTTAAACTTATTAAAACTAAAACACATAAAAAAGGGTTTATTTGGTGCAGGATTCCAAATAGCCTCAAAGTTGTGCCAAAAAGCCCCATTCTACAAAACATAAAAAAATATGACGTCTAAAACAGGTTACAATACAATGGAAAACACCAATAAAATTCCAAGAAAATATATGTCTACATGAGTGTACTCATTTTCTACTTACCTTTAAAACGTTGGTATATCAACTGGAAGTAAAGTACATACAAATTAACTCGATTTAACAAGCTTTTTTCAAAAATTTATCTAACGATTTACTTACGCTTTGGTAACCTCTAAATTTCACCGGTGGTACTGACATTAGTTGTAGTATTGCCATATTGTAAAAAAAATATTCTACTGTTACTAGAAGAAAAAATATATTCAATCAAATCTTTTATTACAAATGTTGTGAATAGCCCCTGGAGTCTCAAAAAGTCCCACTTTACGGTACGGTATTTATAACAAAAAGACAAAAACAATTTTTAAAATGTTTATCTGTCTCTCTGTTTGTTCCGGCTTATAGCTGGCACTGGCAGATAGCTGATGTTATAAGGAATAATACAGGCTAATTTTATTTTAGAAAAAGAATTAGCATGCTGCGCAAAAAAATTAAAACCCATGAAACCCAATCGTAATAAATACCAAGCGGGCGAGGTCTGGCAGCAGCTATTATGTATATTGTTACGGCTCTCAGTTGCCCAGACAGAAGTCGACTGTATTAGGGCCCATCAGTAATACACTCGACGAGCAACCAGAGAGTTCGGTTCTAATGACCTATGGATACTTATTATATACAGGGTATTTTTGGAACGCTCCCGAAAACTAAGACAGGCGACAGCACCAAGTATACCTTTGATCATGGGTTACAAATAAAGTCGATCCTGATGAAAAAAAAATCATCTTTTAACAACGTTTTATTAGCATTACTCACGCGCCATCATGTTAGTACAGCTAAATGAAACGATAATTTCATAAAAAATATCATGAAAATACTGAAACATAAAACCAGCAGTGGAAACTGAATTGATATCACCTGACTAATGGAGGTTAATGTACGCGCGAACGGTGAAAAACAAACGCTGGCCTTGAACTTGGGCACTGAGCGATTTATCACATATTGGTACGAAAGGCGCGCGACGGGGGAACAATCCGCCAGTATTAGTGTGCCTGCATGCTATTGGTTCCCGCGCTTTGTTCGCTCCAAAAATACAGTCGCATACACAGCTTACTTTGCGACTCGCGACGATGTTTTAAAAAGGAAGGAAGGAAAAATTATTTATATCTATTGTTTTATGACTAAACTAGTCTAGATCGAAAAGGTAAATATGATAGGAGAAGGTGAATGGGGAAAATTGTGCAGTAAAGTTAAAAGTGTGGAGGAAGAATACCGAAAAAATTACCATGTGATCGACCTGATGACGGAAGCTCAAGCGAAGATGAAAGTGATGATCAAGTAGCATCCAGTAACACCAACACACCATTAACATCTGGCTTCCATGTGACCCAAGACGTCATAATGGACGGCGTGTTACCCTTAGCTAAAGTTTTCTTGTTACAAACTACTTTATATTTTACGATAGAAATAACAAATAATGCTCATGTAAACATTATCCATTTTTAATTCCCACCTCTTCCAAAGTTCTAAGTAGCTAGTAAAACACCTATTATGATTCTACATTAAAACAATTAATTACTATAATATTATAAAACAATAGCCCAATACCATGTAGTATTTTAGAACGCGATTGTACCCACACCCCCTCCGCTATCGATCTGTATCTAGCTCGGTACGAAACACGCGGTCGTAAGAAAAAAGGGCGCATCTAACAATTTATGAATAAATGAGTTAAATATACCATTCGATTCATGATAAGAAGGCGCATCTACTAAATTTTTTTAATATTCACAAATATCAATATTTTAGAAATTATCGTAAGAATTTTAGACGTAACTGTTGATCACAGATGACTTTTTTTAGTAGAAAAGACTTATACAAATTCAACATAAAAGAAAAGACTTATTTAACCAGTTGCTACGTCATCTTTAACAATATTTGCATCGATTACTTAAATTTCAATTATTCTTGGTCTTGTCTTATTATTCTATATCTTATTATTAAGAGCTTATATCTTATTGTTAAGAGCTGGTGTTTCACATGTGGTCCCATATAAATTTGATCGAGGTCAGACCAATAGTTTTTGAGTTATCCTTAATTATTTATATTAAAGTCGGTTGTACAAAATTTTTAATTTTTAATTATTATCGTAGTAAGTCTTGTATGATATCCCCTTTAAAATCATTACTTTTTAAAATTATTATTTTTTGTGTCTCACTACCAATGCTTTTCTAATATTTATTAAAAAAAAAGTAGTAAATTACTATTAGCGTCCTTTCAACTTCAAATGACCTTTCCAAAATATGTAAAATTGTTAAATGAATGGCAGTTTTTTTTTAATTTATTAGGTTGGAAAGACGCAAATAGTTATATGCGTCTTTCCTTCGATGTTTTTGTGTTGCCAGGTGTATTTTTTAAGCTAAGATGAAAAGGAAAATTCGTTTTATTTAAATAAATAAACAAATTTAAAAAAAAAAATATGTTCGTCCTTAAAATCTTCATGTCTCTACGTATATATTTCAATATAGATACCTTTTAATATACTTTAGACACGGGGTCTGAAAGAAAAATTCATCAATTTATTTTTTATTTCC